GGGGGGGTCGCATCTGGACCCTTTTCGGAGGGGGGGGGGCGTACTCACACCGCCATTTCGCACATCCCCATGCTGTTCCTGGTTCCGAATTTTTAGAACTTTTTTTCGACGGTGTTTTTTCACATTCATTCTTCACAGAACGAATATGGTCATGCATTTACACACCAGCACACTAAGCCCCGCCCCTCTGGCCACGCCCACTTTCGCTTTTTGCGGAATTTTTTCTTCCGACTTTTCGCTTTTTTAGGCAGGCTGTGACAAGCGGCCCCGCCCACTTTGTGGAACCCCCGCCCACTTTTTAAAAATAATGCATATCGGCGAGCTAGTGACCGCACTGGCAGGTTGTGGCTTCTCACGTCACCCGGAACAGAAATTCCTTTTTTGTGGTCTTTTCCTTTTTTCATTCCATGTGATGGGAATTCCTCTGTGAGAGGTTGGCGGGGAAGTGCTCGTGATATGGTGCAAGTGCGATAAATAGACGTTACAGGGGGTCCTGTACGCATCACTAGCAGCATGATTCTACACAGAGCCTACGTCGACTAGTTCTCTTTCTCTCTGTGCTTTTTGTGCGCCGAAATAGCTAGAAGGTATTCCGCTAATGCGCGCAATGCCCTGACTTGTGAGTAACGCTTCACACCCACGAGTTTTACAAAACGAACATGGTATTGGCTTAAAGAACATTGAATCTTCATTATCGAATCAGCCCAATGTGCCCCACTACTTAACAAAATATGTCATCAACAAATCCATAACAACAGGCAAAGTACTGGACAGAAAATAGTGAATCACAGAAAACAATGCTAATTAATAGCGAATGAATTTTTTTGACACAATGTTGTTTTTTTTGAAAGACTGAAAAAACTTCGATTCTATTACTATGCGGTAGATCTGAAAAAATTATTCTATCGATGCTGGTTATATTCAGTTACCTAGTAGCACTCAAACAGGTCAAGCTTCTTTACCATCTTGCCCAAAGCCCACATGTACAGACGTTACGTATTGCACATACGTGAGACTTTAACACGATCAAGCTCTAAAAGTTATGTACGTCACTACAAGGCAGTTTTATGCCGTATGAAATATCGATGAAATATATGAACATGCCTGCTTCAACCACTCTTGCATTGAAGCAGTTTGTAACCCGAGTACAAAAACCAACAACAGAAACATGCTAGAATTATCTGTTCGGATTGTAAATCTTCTTTTTGACGCGGGTAATACGCCAAGCGTTGGCATCCGCGTACTTGTCGAACAATGGGTCGATTTTCTGATTCTTTTTGAACGCTGATAATTTGGTCGAATCGCCCATCTTGAAGAAAGAGGGCGCAAATTCAACAAGCCATCGCGGATCGATTGCAGTCACCTAAAGTGAAACGTACAAAACATTCGTCATTACTTCGTTCATGACAGCAACATTCATTACTTCGTTCATTACACACATTCTAAATCATACTGAACATCAAGGGTCTTCTATAGAAGTCCCTTCTCGAAAACTGCTTCTGAGGCTATGGCTAATAGCCTTACTACACAGAGTTGCGTGCGCACAACAGTACTATAGTAAAAACGGAACTGGTTTTTTAGCAGCAGTATGCGGTCACATAAATTGCAGAAGCGCAGAATAGCTATCATATTCGTGCTCAGGGGGGTCAAATAACCCCCAGAGACGTCACCCTAGCGAAATCTGAGGTTCTGACTCAACTTCGACAAAAATGGGGTATGAATAGTCATGGCTGACTGATAGCTAACAGCGATACTACGACTAGCATACTGGTAATGACTGGTCTTCAAACTGAAATAACTCTTCAGTCATGTCTTTTCGCAAACAACTGTGCCTGGCTTACTTATTCGTGTCATCTGCATCATTTTCTTGATTACCGGTGGGAATTCCATCCCGAGACCAGTCATCGATGGCTGGTGAGCTCCAAACTGCTGCGAATCACCCATGGAATAACTCACATTTTCCTAGTTAGGTCGAAATATCAAATTCAGCTAGAAACTTGTCTCCAGGGGTAATTTAACCCGCTGAGCGTGAATATGATGGTATTTCATTGCAAAAACCCTTGCAACATGCTACGGGGTGGGGACAAGCACGAACACTCTTTCAGGTCATAATGGGTCTGACTTTCGAAAAAAACTGGTCACAGTTTCCTTACAGGATAGTAGGTGAGCAGAGATGTTAGAAGCTTTGTCGGCCATGTTATTGGACAAATACGAAGAAGGAGCACCCTGCCGAGAACCGATCCTACGACGTCTCGCCTAGTAAATCCACTGGCTATCCGTTGCGCTCTACTGCCGCGTTTCAGTTTGACTCCGTTCTTGTATATAAAGACGCTTCCACGTTTCCTCGCGATAGCATGTGAAACAACCACGCGGGGATGAAACCCTCCATAACTCCGTTCAGAGAGTCATTCCGCAAATTCTGGAGGTAGATTCGAGTTCACCGTATCAAGACTCGTAGAATGGTGTGCACCTCATTGGAAATGGCCGGGCTGACCTGTTGACCGTTCCTGGTCAGTTGGAGGTCCAATTCTGTGAACTAATGAAGTCATGAAGGGTGTTTTGGCGCCTCTGCTCTGTCACCTGATGTACAATGGCTGCTCACAACGACGTGCTGAAGGCCCAGCCAGTACATTGACATGTTTGACAATTTCGAGAGATGATCTTTCCAGCAATACATGATCAATTTTCGTTTGTATCCAAGATCCTTCTTTTCGCGAAAAAGGCGTCACGGATCGCTCGATGGTAGGCTGTGGTAAGTCAATTGTACTTCTCTTTCGACGATACTTTCTCCTATTCCTCGGCCTCCATGCACTCTTTCAAGACCGCTTCTATCTCTACCCCTATGGTCAATCAGAATCATCTGTGGTGAGTTGACTACTGCCGGAATAGCTACCCCTTACCGGCTCATCAGCGTCGAGGGTCAGGTAGAACTTATCACTCTCCAGTTTGGAGCTACCGGATTACAGTGGGTCAATACTGCCAAGTAGCCGTACATACGAATCGATCCTGATCCTTTCCATAGAGGAAACGATATGTTGAGGGGGTTCCGTTACCGCTATGGCTATGCCGTTCCCTTCGATGTCTTCTCGCTGGCTCTTGCGATTCCTGGAGAAAGGATTTGGATACTCCTGCGTCTGATGAGGTCAACATCCTGTCGAGCTTTCCTGCTAAACTATCCCACGTTCAGGGTTCCAGTTCGACGTAGCTTCTTTGCTCGGAGCCATTCACCCCCAACTTTTGTACACCGACAACAGAACTCAAGCGAGGACTGCCATCACTTTCTGACGTCCTAGCGTCAACACGGATTCTTTTGCGACTTCTCATGAGCTCCCTTGTGACGGGATTCTAAATCAGCCTGCATGCCAACCTAGTCAAACGCTGGTATCATCACTGTTTTGCAAGGTATAGTTAGTGCCCCGGCAGAGATCGGAGTGGTGGACGTAGTGCAGACGTGGAACAACACTGTGGACACTCGTTATTGATTTAAACTACCGATTTTTGGGCAGGTGGCTGTGAGCGGGTAGTGGAACGCACTGATATGAAACTAGAGTTGGTAAAGAACTGTCTACAGAATATTATGCGAATCTAAGCAAAAGCTGACTAAATACACTGGTAAACTTAGGGACGAGATGGATAAAGTAATGGAAAACACTAATGACTGGGTGGAAGTAAATGAAAGTGTGGGAGCATGTTGCCACTCGCCTAATGGATATGCACAGGAAGCTAGACTTTTCTCGGAGAGCGTTCCGAACCTTTGGTACTGCTGCCCGAGGACGAGGAAGTGGCCGACCAAGGACAACTACGCTAACGGACGACCGCTACATTGTGCAGCAGGCAAGAAGAGATCCTCGTCAGTCGGCTTCGGCAATTGCAACGACGTTTAACAGGACTCTAGGGCAAGCCATCTAACGCACTACAGTGGCAAGACGACTGCATGGTGGTGGTCTCTTCGCCCGACAACCGTTACGTTGTGTTCCTTTGACCCTCCCCCGCATCAGCGAGACCGTTCACGGTGGTGCCAGGAGCATGGCGAATGGGCCGATGAGGAATGGAGCCGTGTGCTCTTTTCGGATGAGAGCAGGTTCAGTCTGAGCAGTGATTCTGGACGCACCCTCATATGGCGAGAGGTGGGAACACGGCAACTCCCCCGGAAACATTGTCGAACGTGATCGTACTGGTGGTCGATGTGTTATGGTATGGGGAGGCATCATGTTGCATGGCCGTACTGACCTCCAAATTTTTGAACATGGAACCCTCACCAGTCAGGACTACTGCGACGAGGTTCTCAGACGAGGTGCGACATCATGTCCGTCTTTTCAAGAGGCTCTGAACTTCATCTTTCCATGGATGGCATGCGCGACCGCATCGAACAGCACAGGTGGAGAAGCATCTAGAACGAGAGGATATCCGGCGCGACCCGCCCGTTTCCCTGACCTAAATCCATCGAGCTCGTGTGGGATGCACTGGTAGACGCATTGCAGCACCACCAAATGCACCAATGACGATCCAGCAATTGTCACATGCGCTGATTGAGGAGTGGAATGCTCTGTCCCCAGGAACTCATTACCAATCTCGTGGAGAGTACAGGATTGTCCGTGGTGATCACACACCTCTATTAGGATCCGTGTAACTTCTTTTGTAGTACCAGGATAAATCGTGAAGACTTATGTGTAATCGAACATGGTTGAATAAAAATGTCATAACAATTCGTCTTATTCCGAGTTTCTGTCAGTTGCTTTCTGTACCATTATCGTTGAGGTTCTCTCTTGATATGATATGAATTCAATCGAGCTATGTTGTCTGGCAGAGGCACAGTGATCGAAAGTTGCTTTCGTCCTAAGTTTTGCACACCAGTGTAGTTCCGAAAGTCAAAAGAAAGCGACTAGTTTCAAAATCAGGTTTAGCTCTGGTTAAACAAAGATAGCTTGCAGTCAGCTTCTCGAAAATTTCCGCCATGAGTTCACAAAATAAGCAAACCTCTCGCATGTACTCTTTCGTCGTCATAACAAGTTCATGTACACAACCATTTCTGGCTGATTCTGGAACAACGCAGATGAGGGGTGGATGAAAACGTTCTGCCCATCCACGAGAGTTCGGTTAACCTTCCTAAAATGAAAAGTGCGTCGGTCCTGGTGATTGAAGAAATCGCTAATAAGCAGAAATAAGCAGCAAACCTGAGGATCTCGTTTCGCCGCATTCTTGAAGAAACCCGAACAGATGGCCTTCTGAATTCCTCTGGACGTCGCGACCGCAACTGACCAGGTCCAGCTTGTGGCGGTCCATGATACCGAGTAAATTGCTTCCGTATGTCCTGCGCCGCTTTGAGAGTTCTTATTTGTACATAGTTTTCGAAGCACCACGGCTGACTGAAGTGATGATGCTTCAGGAATTGTACACGCTAAGAGCGTCATATGGTCGCCCTCTGGTTGATGAAACTTTGCTTTTTTCTGATCCGCCTGCTCTGCTTTTCCTGGCACTCCGGCATTAGTTTTGTGAACCTTGCAGATATAAGCTAATCCGCTTCAATTATTTTCGAGCAGAATAGGCACAGCTCGGATTAGGGGAGGGAAACCCTGATAGTATCCCTACCGACATCCATGCGGAACTGAACGAAACCATACCAGTTTCAATTTGTGCCAGATTACACGGCGCACTTGATTGCCAAACTTTCGACTTGTCCAGAAATTTATCATCACGAGTAGATTGTACTGCAGACAGCGAATATCGCACCCACTCAGTATGAAACCGCCCGCGAGGGAACTGCTTAGAAGCCGGCACATGTAAAAGCACTAAGGTAGTTGGGGCATACCATTAGACATGCGCCTTTCTATTAGGTTGACGGGAAAGTTCTGTCATACTTTTATGACCCAAGTATTCGCCCTATTAGTGAAGAGGGTAATGTGAGCATTAATACATTAAAGGATTGATCTTCTATAGTGTCACTGGCTCGGCTCCTGCTCATCCTTATTCTGGCATTATGGCAAAATGTTATCTGCTACCTTCAGCACCGACCCTTCCAAGCGCTTCCTTAAACTATTTCTTCTCCCACCCTGGGCACTTGCGTGGCAGCTGTCCATGCCGAAACAATGAGCTGGCAGAAGGACAATGTCTACAGTCACCACACAATCTCCACGACGCTAGCTCTTCAAAGCGGGAGCCTACGGTCCGAATGGCGAAGTGAGGTTCGGGAGTACCTGTAAACTCAGCTTTAGGTAGCGGTGGGTCGGGAAACTACTGGATGAAGAAGCTGCCTCCTCGGTCAGTACGTACGCAAGGCAGCTACGAGATCTGAAGCGAAGTCAAGCAGAGGGCAAAATCCATCGGCACCGTCCATCTTCAACGTGGTGCAGCACACCGCGTCAAAAAAGTTTAGCCTACCTCATGCAATAGAGCTGGATGACTCTCCCTTTGCACCGGTGTAGTCCAGACATTGCTCTTTCTGACTGCTAATCGCCTCCCGTATTCAATCGTTATGCAGCCGAGAAAACCTCCACGACTTGAGCCCAAGTCAAAGTTGAGATGATGTCCAACTTTGCGTCGCGCCGGCGTGCATTGTTAACCGTGCCCGTCTAAAGTCGGTAATGGAACTGGTGTCGTTTCGTAATAGTATACTTACAAAGTGGCCTGCACAGAATTGCCCGGCACGTTGATAGAAATTACCTAAATCGAATCGTCCCCCAACTCAACAGTGCATGGTGGGTGACAGTTACGCCAGAGATACTGAGAACCCGATAAATATGAAAAAGAACAGATAAACTCAATGTACCTTAGGTCGGTAAAAAACGTTCTGAACAGAGAGCATTGAAACAATAGTCAGGACTTCATCAGAACATCCCAGTTCTACAGACATGATGAGCAGCTTTGCCAGGGATGGCTCCAATGGGAACTCTGCCATCTAAATAACACACTTTCATTTTCAGTAAAATATAACGCTTTCATCTGCTCTCTAACATTTGGCGGAGTGCATTTTTACTGATTTGAGGCCGGCTTTCTTCAGATTTCATGGTAGTGAGTTCATCTTACATTTCTCAACATCCCTGACCCTTCACCAGAGGTGCTATCACTCAGCTTCACGAGTGCAGGTTAATATAGGGTTCACTATCACTTAGTCACCGAGATTTTTGAGGAATTTCAGCAGCGTAAGAAATACTAACCGTAGTGAAGTTAACACAATCTTGGGAGAAGTTTTACGCCTACTGACTGACAATTCCAAGAAAAATATGCTTACTCGCCGACCGAGTTTTGTCAGCAAGCCGTCACCATCCAGCGCGGATAAAGTGTGAAGTTGATGGAGAGCAGTTATCATGGAATCCAGAGGAGGAGCATCCATGAAATCAAAATCAATGAGGTTGTTGATACCCATGGCTTTGAGGGACAGCAATGTTGAAGCGAGATTTGTCCGCTGTATTTCAGGAACAGGCGTCGGAAGCATCTCATCTCTATAAAGTTGAGGAATGAGCGCTAAGTTTAATTCCAACAATCAACGAGACAAACCTGTAAGCTCGTTCCGTGTAAAGTCGATAACACTTGCCGGGTCCTGTCCGTCCTGCACGTCCAGCGCGCTGTTTGGCCGCAGCTTGACTGATTGGTGTGACCACCTCAACAATGGCAGCTATCCGCAATCTGTTCTAACAGCAACTAACTACAAGTTTAGTAAACGAACCAGTGAATCCATCCCGCTCTTGGGGTTGTATATTTTCTGTTTAACAAAGCCAGGGTCAACTACGAAGTATATGCCATCAATAGTCAATGACGTCTCTGCGATATTCGTAGCAATCACAACCTGAATTCGAAACATTCACATGCAAAACAATAAGTCGACCATTTTCCCTGCTATGTATTCAATTACTATTCAAAGGTACGCCCCGCATTCGTTTAATGAGCAGTCGCCTTAGCATGGTATTCAAGAAGGCGCAACCAAGAAGGATCTATCACTTTCACAGCTCAAAATCTCTGGAGAAAGCGCGATCTGCTCGCGACGGGGCTCGGTCCTGCCCACTGGCAACGACAACACCCAACTCATTCCTACAAGTTTCCTAACTGAGCGGTTGTTTCGCTACAATCCCTCTCTATTTAGAATGGTGAGAGAGTGAGGAGATAAAAGAAACGAGCTGATAACCTTATGTTACCACCAAGTGGGAACTCGACGAATCACGTCATTTCTTCGCATTATGCACAGGCGCAGTTCGGCATCAGTGCGAATGCTCAAATCACGGAGGAGCAAGGTATGGCGACAGCGGACACATCACAGGAATCCAGACATGGTTGCAAAAGAATATGCCACCTTTCGTTTTCCTGGAGGAGCGGGATCGAATATACGGGTTTGCATTTCAGAAGGCAAAGCTCCGTACACTGGCAAAATAAGCAGCTCAGGAACGTCGGGTCCAAGCGCTTTCATTCGTTCATACAAAACTTCACAAGAAGTGTCGATTTCCTCCTAAATTAAGAACTTAGCTGAATTAAGATCATAAAGCATAAGACTTCTGAACTGCACCTGTCCAGTAAGGAAAACAAGGATGTCTCCGGGAGGTTCAGTTAAGTGAATCTGCATAACCGTTATGTGGGCAGCATCCAAATAGTCGGTTTCTGGTTCTCTTGTATACAATATTTCGACAGGGAATGTTCTTCCAGGAATTGTGAAAATAGGGGCCTCCAGAAAGTACTCGGAGAATTTGACGGCATCCAAGGTAGCACTAGAAACAATACCGCATGAAATTGAAATAGAAAGGAAGTCGTGAAAATGGATACCAAATTTCAAGCTCTCTCCTAAAGAAAAAAAAAGCTTCGCCACCTTGTTATGATCAGTTTGAGATCAGGTCGTTTTTTCGCAGCTGCCTTCAGCAAACCGAATAGCACATCGGTATTAATGGTCCTTTCGTGAGCTTCATCCAACATTATCAACGAATACGACATTAGATCCGGGTCTACTAGACATTCGCGTAGCAGCATACCGTCAGTCATGTATTTGATGATGGTATCCTGACTGCAAGAAAAGGGTAAGAAACATTGTGCTAAAAAACTCAGAAGACATGAGCGCACGAAGTAAATAAAACGGTCTCCCACCTCGTACAATCTTCAAAACGAATAGTGTATCCAACTTCCTGACCAAGTTTGGCACCAAACTCTTCGGCAACACGTTTCGCCACAGACATTGCAGCTACACGTCTACAATAACAACCGCATACTGACATCACTCATGGAGGATATCCAAACGACTGACGCAAAAATTAAAAAAAAGCGATTAGATGCGATATGATCTAAAAACAAGCAATACGTCACCTTGGCTGGGTACAGCCAATTTTACCCTTTCGTGCAAAACCAGCTTCAACAGCATATTGCGTAATCTGCGTAGTTTTGCCGGAGCCAGTTTCACCAATGACCACGAGAATTTGGTTGTCATTCATTGCCTGCAGTGAAACGAAATCAGACTTGCAAAATCACGAGAACAGCTTGCAAAGCCTTTTTGTCGCGCTCGGATTTGCCGTAACTCGGAAGTAATGCCGTACATCCGTAAATGAGTGGATTTCAATGAATGATGGACATAAACTGTGAAATTGAGCCATTTAAGAAAAAAATCCTACCTGGATCAATGCCTTTTTCAACGTGAATATCGGTAAAGATTCTCTCTGTTCCTTGATACTCAGAGTTGTGCGCTTTCCATATGTTGCCTTTCCTCCAGCTGTGACATGCTTCATCCAATCTGGCATATCCTATAATTATCGATTGCCTCAAAATCTAGGAGAAAGGAGACGCTAAAATAATGGTTTGAACTGTTGTTACTCTGTCTCTTCTGATCGATCTAGCATCGTCGTTATCAACTTCACGCTCTTGCATTGGATCTAAGATTCTGGAGCTGGTAGACCGTAAACCCGTGCTCTGCTCACCATCCTTTTCCCGTTGTGCTTGTATCTTCGCCTCTCGCCGCTCTTTTGACAGAGCGCTCTGGAAGCAACATGAGTTACAACACTCAGCATTTGAACTCGGATATTTTTTCAAACCTGCATTAGAGCCGCTTGTGCCATGCTTCCATCAGGATTCTTCACTACTTTCACAGGTTCAATTTCCTGGTTGCCTTTACCGTATCCACGAAGAAATTCAGGCTCTTCTTCGACAAGTTCAACTTCATAATCTTCACCGTCACTTTCTTCTGGAATGTTGCAACCCAATGGCGCACAATATCCGCAGTGGAGGTGACAAATATCAGTTGGTAAATGAACACGTAGCAGAAAAAAATGCACCACGGTTATTTGAGGGCTATTATAGATTACCTTCTTCTCCTTTCAGCACACCGGAATCTTCATCAAAATCAGGACGATCCAGGTTGGTAACCACTCCAGCGCCAACCATTTGCTGCCATTCCCATCTTTCCGGTGTTGACATCCGAACTCGGCTTTTTCCACTAAAACATTTTTAGAAAATAAAAAAAAATGACCCGAGTATTGGAATGTTAACAAATGCGATACCTGGTGGTTGCTGCTATAGCGCTCGAAGGCCCTGAAACTTCAGGGTTGGCCCATGGTGCCTCAGGATTACGCAAATTGCTCACACCAACAGCATCTGCTGCTAGAGGGGCTTCAGCGGGATTGAGATCTTTTCCTGTTGATTGGTCGACTTCCTTCATAGACAATGACACTTCCCTCCTTCAATTTTCAACACCTAAAATCACTATCTTTTTTTCTGCCCTACCACGCCCGTGTAATACAGGGGTGTATTCAGGCCATCTAACTAGGGAGGTCGTTCAGGTCATGGTGAGCTTTTTAAAAACGGTTTGTTGCATGAAGTAGGGGTCCATGCAAGGACCACACAGATGGGGTTCATTTTCGCTAAACGGTAATGGGAGTGCCAAAAAAGGCCGAAAAATTTGAAAGGATGGGGTATTTGAACCACCTTATTCAGCTCCGTTCTACCTGTACCGTTGAGAGTGCATAGTTTATGAGGTGAACTTTGAGTAGACATGAAAAACAACGCAGAGAATGTCAAAATTCAAGTACTTTACCTGGCAACGTAGACTGAGAGTCCGTCGCACTATCTTGGATTTTGACCTTCTTCTACCTTGTTTTTTATGTCTACTCAAAGTTCACCTCACAAACTATACAGGGGGGGGGGCAAAAAAACTTTTTTCTGCCTCGACTTTCGAGGCGCTATAAGTTACACTTTAGTAAATTTTTATCGGACATTTCTACCAGAGCATATCAAATACAATCATGATATCCGCCACAGCCTTCTGGAGGAGCGCCATCGAAAGATTCTGCCACACGACCGTCAGTGGGTGGGTGAGTTCAATGAGATCGTTGATTTCTCCGCCACTGTAGACCACCCTATTGAACTCCTCCCGAACCAGGTGATTGAGGGAGTTTAGGTCAGGTCACCTGCTTAGATATTCCACCTTATTCAGGTACTCAACGCCCTTCCATTTCAAGTAGGCAAGGGTTTTCCCAACGCCCTTTGATTCCATGTGGTGTCACCCAATCCTGTAGAAGTACAAAGTCTCCAAGAAGGTACGGGCGACGACATGTGGAGAGGATATTCTTCTCGAGTTGCTCGATGTAACCGCCAGCGCTCACCTTTAGTCCGGGGCCCACGAAGGAAATATCGGTCTCTCCATTCCAGGTACGTCCGGTACCCACCTTCAACTGGCGCCTTGGCGACTGAGATGAAGATGATGTTCGAGACCGTAGCGACGTTGTCGGAGCTGCTCGATGATGGGGGTCTTCCAGATCGAGAGTACTACTCTCCAGGTAGCTATCCATGGATGACTCCACACTGGAAGTTTCGCAGCTGTTCGGAGGTGACATGAATTCCAAAGGCCTTCCCCAGTCAGGTTGCGGCTGGAGATGACTTCATATTTTGGTGTGCATGATGCCGATGGGCGAGAGCCAGCTCCTGCTTGTAGAGGAAACATTCTTGGGTATCTTCCGCCCTGGTACCCGATCCACGTCTTCTCTCTGGGCAGGCGAAAACTTTGCTGATATGTGACTCGGTCGAAATGTCTTTTTTTTTGCCCCCCCCCCCTGTACACTCTCAACGATACAGCTAGAACGGAGCTGGAAAAGGTGGTTTAAGTAGGCCATCTTTTCAAATTTTTTCGACCCTTTCTGGCACTCCCAATACCGTTTATCAAAAATGAACCCCATCTAGGTGGTCCTTGCATGGACCCCTACATCATGCAACAAACCGTTTTTGAAAAGCTCACCACGGCCCGAACGACCTGTAAGATGCGTCACCACGCACAAACCTCCCAGGGTCGCTAGCTAGTAGACACAAGACAGTTTTGCTCAGCAGCTTTTTTTGCTTTCTGCGTTTTTGCTATTTGTTTTTTTAATAGTGTGCAAGGCCGCAGTCAACACCCCTATGTCTTTTGTTGGAGGATACTGTCACTATACAAGCTGCCATTACGCTTAAGTGTTGCATCAAGTCAAGTAGCTGGAATTAGGAGCGACCGTGCCTCCGGTGTCCTGAACTGTACTCGCAATTTTGGGCTGTTAAGTAGATTACCACCGTATTTTTAGGTGACCGTTTATATAACTGAAGGTGTAAAGCCAATCATCAGCTGAATAAACATTAGAAAGCAATTTCGAGGGCGGAAAAACGGAGCTGGCTTTCCGAACGGCAAGAGCATCCGAAAACGTTGACAACACAGATTGGAAAAAGAGCTTCGTACTTCAGTATCTGATGCAGTGAAGCTCAGTGAACCATCCATACAACCTGGTAGATGAGCGTTAACATTCCGACACATTCCAGTTTACGAAAGTAGGACAACAGTAAAAACAAGCACGTATCCCTCTCGCAATTATCCCTCTTCTAATCTCAAAAGACAACACTGCACTCCAGTGACAACTTGCTTTATGCAGCACTGAGGAATCTCTCCTGCTCCAATGCAATCATAAAAGACGTGAGCACGTGCTAAAAAGGTGAAATAAAAACCCCCAAATTACCTTCACTTTAACACGTTGACCTCTATTGAGCACATCAGCGACAGAATTCACTCTTTCATTCTTCAACTGCGAAATATGACACAGCCCTTGCGTTTGCTGTCGTATGCCTTCCAGCTAAAGGATGAAATAAATACTCGGTGATCTTTACAAAGTGCGAATGGCTTCATTCATCAAAAAATTACAAAATATAACCTGTATGAACGCTCCGAACGACTGAATGCTGACCACGCTGCCATTATAAACATGGCCAACCTCTGCTACATCCGGTAAGTCCGTAGGGAACTTATCGTGCGTTTCCCGTCCTTGTTGTCTGCCAGAGCCTCTTCTGTCGTTTCGGCCTCTATGATCACGGTCATCAGTCCGTCTTTCTCGAGGGTTATCTCGATACCTGCTCCCCTTTCTATCCCTGTCGTGTCTGTCACTTCTCCCATTACTTCGCCGGCTTCGCGAAGAAGATCGAGACCTTAATACAGGTTGTCTTATGGATTAATGACATGTACAAAGGACACTCAGAACTAATGTCGCTCTTCAGTGTGTCATATTTAGTGACACACGGTTCACATACATGATATTGCTGCATTACGATAATGCTATGATCTAAAGCACACTCCATGCTCATTTGATATTCGGACGCCCTCTTCGGACAACGTAGTCCTGCAACCACCATGGAGGACGTACCATTTTCGCAGCTTCAAAATACTTGGTAAAAGCGCTACCGCTCGAGGTGATGCCACGGTTCCGCGACCTGGCTACGACGACGCCCAACTTTCATTTTTAAGAGGCAGGCTGGTTCGCTTCTACCTCTCTCCATTTCGAGCAGTTAGCTCGGTGAACAAGTTGACCGAAGGCTTATCACCCGCTTCTGTACTGATTGTACTTATATTAGACCCTAGAATATTGCGCCGTGTAAACTACTAACAAGGGAACCCCAACAGGTCGATCCGGCCATTTACAATGAGATGTATACGTATGGACGTGTCTTGAGCCGCTGAATCCGAATCTGCCTTCCGATTTTGGGAACGATTTTCTGAAGGGAGTTACGGACCATTAATCTTTGCTGTATTTGCACAAGCTGACCCTAACCAGGAAACGGCCAACACGTCAGCCCGGCCTTTGCAGAACGAAATGTACATCATTGCTACTCACTTGCCACGGTGAACACAGACTATCTTTAAAATTTGCGGAACGATTCCTTTGAGCGGAGTTGTGAGGTTTTTTCTTTATTGGCTTTTCCTTCTTCCGAGCGCGTCAGCGCCAAAGCGTTAGCCACCTTGTAGCGCCACTCACAGCGCTCTTCGCGCAAAACAGGTATCATATTCCTGTTCAGGGGTCAAATAGCCCCTAGAGACGTCACGCCAGCGAAATCCGAGGTTCTAACTCATTTCGAGAAAATGGGTTATGAAATAGCTGTGGCTGACGCGATAGCCAAAGCGATACTACGACTACCATACTGATGATGACTGGTTTCCCAACTCGAAATACCTCTTCATTGTGCCTTTTTGCAAAGACGTTCCCCGGCTTACTTATTGCTTTGCCGTTTGCAATCATCGTCCTCTTTACCACGAGGTAGTTCCATCTCGAGACCGATTCACCAAGCGGTAGGTGAGCTCCCTATGCCTTTCGATTACCCCATGAAAGAGCACACATTTTCCCAAGTTAGGTGGGAATATCAGATTCGGCTAGAAATTTGTCCCGCCAGGGGTAGTTTGACCCGCTGAACATGAATATGATGGTATTTCATTGCAAAAACCCTTGTGACAGTGTGGTTATCCTCATAATAAAAAAGTTTTCAAGAGGCACCTACATGGGGAATCGCCCGCCTTTCCGTTGGCAAACTAATCAAGAATTAGGCGAAATGGGCCAAATAAGAAATATTCGGAGGGCTATACCAAGTGTTTGAATGAAAAAGCAAAAATCCCGATAGCTAAGGATTCCAACATTCGACCTCCTGGTCTCTGAAGCAATGGCACTTATCCACTAGGCATCGGCAGCTTGTCGCGTGCAGTTAGTCCTTCTCAACTTGAGCAAACATGGCTAAGATTAAATGGTTCGGTTAACATCCCTTTGGAGAATCGCTTCCGCAAAATCGGAGGTCCGATATGGATTCGCGGCTCAAGACACTTCATATTTATACCTCTCAACGCAAATGGCCGGATCGACTGTTGGGGTTCCCTTGTAAGCGCAAGCTTTCCTCCCTTTTCGTCGGAATAATCAGTTCAGAATAAATTTCCAGAGGCAGGAAGGTCCCGGCATGCCGGTTTCTTTACTTGGTGGTAGATCCACCATCTCGTTAGACCTCCCTTTTTAGGGCGCGTTCATCGCTTGCGTTCGTGTAAGAAAATGCTAATCGATTTGAAGAAATGCAGAAATGCCGAAAGTGAAGAAAGTGCGGATATACTGCAGAAATGCCGAAAATGTGCAAAGCGCAGCATCTGTAGAATGCCGAATGGTGTTGGAGGCAGAAAGCAACGCTACGTGTATCGATTTTCGCGCAGCTTTCCGCTTTTCTTGCCAGTATTCCGCACTTCTTCAGCTTGGCGGCATTTCTGCATTTCTTCAAAATCGATACGTAATGTAATGCTTTTCGATCATTCTGCGCACTTTCCAGCACTTCTTGCATTTGCTTCACGAGAACGCAAGCGATGAACGCGGCCTTAGTTGTATTGGCAGTGACGCGAGAAAACACGTGTGAATACCTTGGATCGGTGCTATAGTTTCTTTTCTTTTTCTGGTCCTCTGCCTTCGATATTGTCTACTCCTGCTTCGGGACTGCGACCACTTCTTTTGTTGGCATCTGCTCTCATCTCGATTCTTTCTTACTCTGGGGGAAAATGCTCAGAGTTCTTGCTTCTGTTAGCTTCTTCTTTTTTCTGAACCACAATTTCAATACTATGTTGTGTTTTGTTCTTGGCTTTACTAACGGATAATAAATCATACCATCATAATTCACTTTTCGTCAGAGTCCCACATGAAAATAAGGTAATGACTTGTTCCAAAGAAACATTTACCGCTTCTTTCCATTTTGGGGAAGCAAGATTCTCCCACTGACTCATCCATATCGTCGGTGTTACTATTTGGCATAGCAAGTGCGGCGAAAGTCTCCGCCTAAACACCACATACACTTTGAATACCATAATCAACTATATTTCTAGCGAAAACTTTATTTTCTTCCTTCGCGTCCGATATTCTGTGATCTTGTGAGATTGAACCCTGATCCTGTTCCGTTGGTTCTTCCTTTTTCGGTAACCATATGCTGGATTAGACGAGCAGGTTAGCTGTCAGCGAGTCAATCAAACTGAATGGAAAAGAAGAGAGTTCCATCAATTTCGATACTTTCGGTTAGTCATTGTGGGCAAAAGTGGTGAAGAAAAGATAAACGTCTTGGGCTTAGTTGAGTTTGGTTCAGACAAAAGAGAAATGAGAAAAATGCTCAACGCGATTGTGAGTAGTAGTGATAGAAGTCCCTCGATTATACAGATAACGAGCAAAAGAGCAGACAACTCAGGTATGACCTCACCACTCATGGCTGTAGACGTCCTACTCTGTCGCTCGTTCAAAGCGGTATCAAATTCATTTATCGATAAAAACGATATGTTTGGGGCCGTCCTTGCCTATCTGACTTGAAATGAGGAGGATTATGGGAGGCTGGCGCCAAAGGCAATTCACTAGATATCGATCTGGATGGGTTAACAGGAAGTAATGGAATCAGGTTAGAATGTGCGCAGGTGGAGACAGGTGGATGACCAGGGTTACTCTCTCCCAGAAAGGTGGACACGTTATATCACTTAACCTGTCGACTTCCTTCGCGCGAGTCCTCCCAAAGGTCTGTTCCGCTCTACGGTTTAAGGCAGTTCGCTAGCTTTATACTTCTTGGGCGCGATTCTCTATAATCCCAGTCTCGAAGTTTTGAATGCCTTTACAATATCTCAGAGGGCCAAATTGATAGGCAGAAAAGAGGCCATTCCCCTTCTTCCGACATTCTCCTTTCTATATTGATAGCACCACCTCACATGTACCTAAAATTGTGGTGAACTTCGTCACCATCGACCTTAATTTCATTATGGAATATACAATGGCGTAGGCAAAGGCCAGCCTGATCCTACTTTAAAGTTCAGGGTACGCTTGCACACACCACCTGACTCGCAATCCCTGCCTCGTATCAAGTGCTCTTTTGAATTTCTCAAATGTATTGTGTTCATAGTTGCGAGTTCAATAATAAACTCTGCCCAGCATCTTTGTCCTTGATACCAAAATGATTGTCCTATTCTGAGCAGGACTTTCGAACCAGCGAATAAACGCTCTAGTTCATCCATTTCGAGAGTCTGCTGATCTGAATTCATCTGGGTGTAATAGCAAGTTATAGTGAGTGTAGTAGACAAGAATTCAATAGTGAAACAGTCTTTGATCAAAACATCACGCAAAATTTAAAACCTTAAAGCATACTTTAAGAAAACAATGTTATATCAATCCCAGGCCCTCAACACATTCCAATATTCTCGCTTCGAGGACTATGCTAGAAACTTGAAATGCTGGCCTCTTCGAAACGAGCTGGGCAAACAAACCTTTACTTCTTGCTAGTCACGGCGGGTAAGCTTATCGAAATTAACGTTTTCAACCTGAAATGAAGGCGAGCAAAATAACATTTATGGTCAGTTTTCCTTGCAATGAAAAACAAGATGACTGGGAAGGGTGTTCAAAAAAAAAATCACATCGCTGCAGCTAGCAATTCGGTTAAGTATATTTTACATTGTATGGACAAGGAGCTGTCGGTAAATCACAGCAACCCGGAATGCAGTAAGAAAGCAAAGTCTTCCATATTCCAAACAAAGCTAAAATAAAAAATGACGCCTATCTACTAGATAAAAATCCATCTTTAGAGGTCCACAACGCCTTCAGTAGCAAAATTTCAAAAAGCTCTCAACGTCCGCCGACTACAGCATCTGGCAACCCGCTCGTGCAAGTATATGACATAAATTGTTCTACACGGTAGCAACAAACTAACAGTTGTAGCAACATTCGCACCATCACATAAACCAAGCACGTGGTAATTTTTTTTGAGTCGCCGTCTCGAGGTCGTGGCTTCGAACAAAAATTAACAATAATGCAATATTACATAGTGTTTTAAAGCCGCACTACCGAGTTGAAGCTTGTGCAAGTGGGCGCCCGTACTCTCGAAATCTAGAAATAACAATATGGAAGGCGCCACGATGTTACGCCAAATGCATCGATGAGCTGTCGTGTAATTGCACCACTACTGTGCGGTTACCGGTGCTCTCACGCACTGTTTTGCTTAGGGGCGGACGGTAAACGGCACAATCACACTTCTCAGCATCGCAGCTTTGTGAGCGACGGCTCGCGCGCAGTTTCCTCAATAGGGCATCGTGGTCAACTATAACCACGCAGCAGTAAACATCGTAGGTTTGCCTACTAGGAACTCAAGCATGGACTATCACCACCTAAACTCGCAAAAAAGCCATCGAATCTTGCGTATAATGTTTGATGATTGTGGCGTTTCCCACCTAATTTCCGTTGAATCACTAGAAAGTCCCGCGTAAAGAGGAACAAACGCCTTTTTACATTCATGTTTAGGCACTGCGCCGCATCAACGTGGGGACACTCCTCAGGTCTACCCTGCTTCGTCAACCTCCGAAGCATTCCTGCGGCTAACAGGCTTTTTTTCAAAGATCTGCAAGGGACCAGTTGAAAGCAGCATCTTGTCACCTTCATCAATTGTCCAATTCAAGCAATTTGGCACAGTCCATTTTGCGGGTATCTTTCATGAACAAAATGGCCAGCCTTAGAATGAAAGATATGTACTTATATATGGAACGAATAATATATTTTGTAAAGATTATATTAACAGTGCGCCTTCTAGTAACGCGAAGCATAGGGACCTTTTATACCCAACGCTCATGGGCAAAGTACAGTCGTCATCCTTGCTACTTGATAGGGGCGTGTCGGCGAGAAGGCGCGTGCACTACTGTTTGAAGCCTTCTCAGCCTTTTCCGTTGAAGACACTGCGTATGGAACAAAAAGTGCCTAGAACACGAGTAAACGAATGGAATATAATACGAGTAATTGTCAACTTTCTGGTTCAACGATTGGTGGCTGTACGGGGTGCGGGCGACCGCGCCGCACGCAGGCCGCAGCTGACATTTGACTATCAAGTGCAGGATGACGAGCTGTACTTCATCGCTGGGAAATGGTTGCAAGACGTGTACGCACTGATTCTACTTTTGAACTTTCAATGGTTGGTTCAGATCAATTCCCGGTTGACTTCAGTGGAGCCGTTTGTGGTGAAGGCATTTTGGCCAGCCTTTGAATTCCACCCCAACAACTCATTTGACACCTGAAAGTTATTACACTACAGTGTAAATCAAAAGGTTCAGCTCCGCTCTTGAATGGGTGATTTCGTTACTTAAGTGTAGCATTTGTAACAGCCAGCATTGTGCGAGCCATCTAACGTTTCGAATTGAAACATGCTTTGCCTATAAAACTCGCTCAGGTGCGCGCTTGATTCCCAGACTGTGCAAAATGTGTCGCGCCACAAATTTCTATTAAGCAAAACAACGAGGCGCTTCGCTTTCGGTGCAAACATTATGGAGCGGCTTTCCATACGCTTCGTTAATGGTGCGATCGTAATGAGCGCGCGCTTGCTCTTCAGGGTAATCGTGGCCGGCGACCG